TCTTGGGCACAGGGACTATGGTAGTCTGCCTTGAAACAAGTTGGTATTACAGACCGGGTCAGGGATAGGTTTAAAATGTCAGTGAAGACACTTGCCAGCTGGTCAGCTCATGCTCTGAGTACGCGTCCTGGTATTCCGTCTGGCTCCGTGGCCTTGCCAAATTTAACCCGTTTAAAGGTGTTACTCACTTTGGCTACGGAGAGTGTGATCACACAGTCACCCGTAACAACTGATGCTCTCATGCATGGTTCAGTGTTGCTTGCCTCAGAGCTAGCATAGAAGGCATTTAGCTTGTCTGGTAGGCTCGCGTCGCTGGGCAGTTTGCGGCTGGGTTTCCCTTTGTAATCCGTGATAGTTTGCATGCCCTGCCACATCGGTCGAGCGTCAGAGCCGGCGTAGTAGGATTCGATCTTAGTCCTGTATTGAATCTTTGCCTGTTTGATGGCTCGTTGGAGGTCGTAGTGGGATTTCTTATAAGCGTCCGGATGAGTGTCCCGCTCCTTGAAAGCGGCAGCTCTAGCCTTTAGCTCAATGCAGTTCTTGCCTCTAATCCATGGCTTCTGGTTAGGGTAAGTACGGTCACTGTAGGGACGACGTCGTCGATGCACTTGTTAATGAAGCCGGTGACTGATGCCGTAAACTCCTCAATGTTATTGGATGACTTTTAAGACTTTTAAGCAGGTCAACATTCACAAGGCCGCAGGGCCAGACGGATTACCAGGATGCCTACTCCGAGCATGCGCTGACCAACTGGCAAGTGTCTTCACTGACACTTTCAACATGTCCCTGACTGAGTCTGTAATACCAACATGTTTCAAGCAGACCCCCATAGTCCCTGTGCCCAAGAACACTAAGATAACCTGCCTAAATGACTACCGACCCGTAGCACTCATGTCTGTAGCCATGAAGTGCTTTGAAAGGCTGGTCATGGCTCACATCAACACCATTATCCCAGAAACCCTAGACCCACTCCAATTTGCATAGCGCCCCAACAGATCCACAGATGATGATCTCTATTGCACTCCACACTGCCCTTTCACACCTGGACAAAAGGAACACCTATGTGAGAATGCTATTCATTGACTACAGCTCAGCGTTCAACACCATAGTGCCCTCAAAGCTCATCACTAAGCTAAGGACCCTGGGACTAAACACCTCCCTCTGCAACTGGATCCTGGACTTCCTGACGGGCCGCCCCCAGGTTGTAAGGGTAGATAACAACACATCTGCCACGCTGATCCTAAACACGGCGGCCCCTCGGGTACATGCTCAGTCCCCTCCTGTACTCCCTGTTCACCCATGACTGCATGGCCAGGCACGACTCCAACACCATCATTAAGTTTGCAGACGACAAAACAGTGGTAGGCCTGATCACCGACAACGATGAGACAGCCTATAGGGAGGAGGTCAGAGACCTGGCCGTGTTGAACCAGGATAACAACCTCTCCTTCAACGTGATCAAGACAAATTAAATGATTGTGGACTACAGGGAAAAAAGAGGACTGAGCACGCCCCCATTCTCATCGAAGGGGCTGTAGTGGAACAGGTTGAGAGCTTCAAGTTCCTTGGTGTCCACATCACCAACAAACTATCATGGTCCAAACACACCAAGACAGTCGTGAAGAGGGCACGACAAAGCCTATTCCCCCTCAGGAGTCTGAAAAGATTTGGCATGGGTCCTCAGATCCTCAAAAAGCCTTCTTAACAGCTTCTACCCCCAAGCCATAAGACTCCTGAACAGCTAATCATGGCTACCCGGACTATTTGCATTGCCCTCCCCATCCCCTCTTTTACGCTGCTGCTACTCTGTTTATTATTTATGCATAGTCACTTTAACTCTACCCACATGTACATATTACCTCAATTACCTCGACTAACCTGTGCCCCCACACATTGACTCTGTACCGGTACCCCCACTGTATATAGCCTCCCTACTGTTATTTTATTTTACTGCTGCTCTTTCATTATTTTTTTACTTATTTATTTTTTACTTAACACTTATTTTTCTTAAAACTGCTTTGTTGGTTAAGGGCTTGTAAGTAAGCATTTCACTGTAAGGTCTACACCTGTTGTATTCGGCACATGTGGCAAATACAATTGTATTTTATTTGATATTCCAGTCTGTGCTAGTGAAACAGTCCTGTAGCTTAGCATCCTCTTCATTCGACCACTTCTGTGTTCCTATTTGAGGATAGAGTTATGGTCTTATTTGCCCAAGGGAAGGCGAGGGAGGGCGAGGGAAGGCGAGGGAGGGCGAGGGAGGGCGAGGGAAGGCGAGGGAGGGCGAGGGAAGGCGAGGGAGGGCGAGGGAAGGCGAGGGAGGGCGAGGGAAGGCGAGGGAGGGCGAGGGAAGGCGAGGGAGGGCGAGGGAGGGCGAGGGAAGGCGAGGGAGGGCGAGGGAGGGAAGGCGAGGGAGGGCGAGGGAAGGCGAGGGAGGGCGAGGGAGGGCCCTTGTATGTGTTTCTGTGTGTGGAGTAAAGGTGATGTAGAGTCTTGTCGCCTCTTGTTGCACAAGTGACATGCTGGTAAGCATGAGGTAAAACAGATTTCAGTTTTCCTGCACTCAAATCACAGGCCAAGAGAAACGCCCTCTCTGAATGTGCATTTTCTTGTTTGCTTATGGCCCTATACACCTCGTTGAGTGCAGTCTTAGTGCCGACATCGGTTTGTGGTGATAAATAAGTGGAAGCAAAGAAGTGGGGGGCGACAGGTAGCTTAGTGGTTAAGAGCGTTGTGCCAGTAACCGAAAGGTCGCTGGTTCTAATCCCCGGGCCGACTAGGTGAAAAATCTGTCGATGTGCCCTTGAGCAAGGCACACAACCCTACTTGCTCCTGTAAGTTGCTCTGGATAAGAGCGTCTGCTAAATGACTAAAACAAATTTAAAAATGTAAATAGACAGCTACGAAAAATATAGATGAAAACTATCTTAGTAAATAGTGTGGTCTGCAGCTTATCATGAGGTTTTCTAACAGACAAGCAAAAACTTGAGACTTTCTTAACATTAGACATTGCGCACCAACTGTTGTTAACAAATAGACACACCCCTCCTCCCTTCATCTTACCCGAGTCTGCCATCCGGTCATGACCATGCATAGAAAACAGCATAGAAGGCTGTACTATAAACAACCCTACTGTAAACACCAGCCCCAGAGCCTTGTAAGAAGTCAAAACAAAGGGCATTGACTTTGTCAGCTGCTACATAATCACAGTGTTTCACAGAATACAATATTAATCAGTGGGTCCTTGGTCCTTGGTCCTTGGTCCTCCAGTCTGGCGTCAATCACTATCAACAGATATGAGTTTAATCAATGATATAACATCTAGTGTAGTGACTATCAACCAGAGTGTTACAAACAACACTGGAAATCATGTGTATTACATAAAGGGAAAATATATAAATATGCAAAACATTGTGTTAATCACTCACTTCCAAAACGCTATATCCATCAATTTTTCACATTTGTGTTTTTTCATCAGAAATGAATGCTTATGTGTACCTTCATGTGTGTGTAAGACTTTGTATTCATAGATTTTTGTAGCAAAACGCTATATATCCATTGTTCAGCTGGAATGGAATGTTCGTATCCTGTATATTTAACATATAAATTCAACTCATCATAAATCTAGCCTCATGCAATAGTGTTTGGTTAGAGTTAGGCTTCTGGATTACTTTTGACAAGAGCCCAGATCTCATATTACTGTATTGATAAATGTTTTATATATATATTTTTAATGTTGATGTCACAAATGTATCATTTGTACAGTTTTTTATTAAAAACAGTATTTGTCCCACTTGACTGTGTAAAGCAGTGCTTCCTTGTTCTCTGAGAGTAACGATGTGTCCATCCACCATTTTAATGCGAGTAAAGTACATGTTTACATTTACGTCATTTAGCAGACGCTCTTATCCACGACAGGCCTGATGGAAACAGAAAATGTGTTGGTAAACTTTCCAAATGTCGATAAAACTAAATACGCTAGACAAGGTGGGATGTTTTTGTGTCTGTAAAACGAATTATGCGAGAAATGTCGGTGGAAACACTTTTATGCGCAACTATTGATATAATAACCATTATATCGAAGTAAACTTGGAGTCACGCAATGACATGTTGTGTGGTCCTCCCACTAGGACTCGTCGGGCAAGCACGCAGGTTATTGGGCTGTAGATAAAATAAGTTATGAACTTCACAGGGTGGTGAAAATACAAGGTGATGAGCTTAATGCTCCTGTACAATAAATATTGACGGTCTTATTCTGGTGACGTGATGATCGATGCTCGACTGCTGTTAGACAAATACAAAATATTGTCGCTCTTATCCATAATGATCACGTCATGTAGACTAGCCTACCGCGCTGTATCTGCCAGCTGGAGATCCCACGTGTCAATAGCAGAGTGGGCACATTCGCTATATAACGCAACATGTTTTGTGATAAAACCATCTGTAGAATTGAAAATGGAATGGAAACCCACTTAACTTGTATTTTTTATTCGGTACATCGGGAATGTAACTGCAAAAGTAATTTTTCACGCACAGCCTTTTATCCGCAACAATTCAATTTAATGGAAACACATCTCTGGTGGGAAAATGTTCATATTGTTTTCATGCAGATTTTTGAATATTCACATGAAAATATGTCGCCAATTGGATGGAAACCTAGCTACTGAGGCGAATATATCTCATTTTGCAACAAAATGTGATTGTTTGTCTCTCTGAAATGAAACCATCAAGTGATAGATTTCAAACAACCCCACGCCATGATTAGATAGTGAAACAAACACACAAATCTCTTTTCATAAGTTCTTTAAACAAAACAAAAAAGCTAATTTGCCAACATTTCTGATCATGGATATATACATACAGTATAGCGTTTCGGAATTAAACCTATTCATATTAAATATTCCTATTGCAGTCCCCCACCCGATCTTACCATTCTTTCTCTTTAAAATACCAGAAATGGACAGGGTACATACCACTACAACGACACAAGCTCCAGGTACATGGGCACGTGGGTGATGGGCAAGATGGAGTCAGCAGGAGAATTCATCCACCTGAACCACAGATACCAGGGCAACTTCCTCAACAACAATGTAAGTCAGCCCAGAAGCAATCGGACATTATTAAGGCAAAAAAAACACCGCCTTGATGAAAACAATAGCCACAAACACAACATGATGTTGACAAGTGCTGTGTTTATTGTGTGTTTAGTTACAAGTTTATCAGCATACGTCAATATCATTGTGTACTAGCATATATAAACTGTCACTATAATCCATCTTTGTTTCAGCCCTCAGGCCCAGGGAAGTATGTGTTTGAAGTTGGCTGTGAGCAGCATGGAGAATACCTACAGCTGGATCAGGTAGGACCACTACCACATATTTGCAGATGTGGAAATTGCAATGATATGATAAAACAACCTGTACAAGCGCAGAATGGCTCTTTAGCAAATGTTTGTTGTTTTGAAGTATCTGGATGAGATCATGACAAAAGCCACTTAACAGAGAGCTGCTTCTCTCCCTTGACTAAAACTCCAGCCTGCATCAGATGAGGAGAATGGTAAACATGGGAAAGCCCAGAAGTCCAGGTCTCCTTACCCTGGCCACGGGGAGGGCTTTTTCTCCATAGGGGCTTCAGGAGAGGAGGTGCCACAGCAACTACAGAGTGCTGCGCCTTACTTGTAGCATAGTAGTTCACTTCCTGTGTCCATTTGTTGCATGACACCCCTTAGTGGTCGATTGATACAAAGATAACCTTTTTTTCAACAGTTCTCAAAATGCTATTGGGCTTAGCCTCTTAAAGTGAATCAGATACAGTTGAAGTCGGAAGTTTACATACACCTTAGCCAAATACATTTAAACTCAGTTTTTCACATTTCCTGACATTTAATCCTAGTAAAAATTCCCTGTTTTAGGTCAGTTAGGATCACCACTTTATTTATAAGAATGTGAAATGTCAGAATAATAGTAGAGAGAATTATTTATTTCAACTTTTATTTCTTTCATCACATTCCCAGTGGGTCAGAAGTTTACATACACTCAATTAGTATTTGGTAGCATTGCCTTTAAAATTGTTTAACTTGGGTCAAACGTTTTGGGTAGCCTTCCACAAGCTTCCCACAATAAGTTGGGTGAATTTTGGCCCATTCCTCCTGACAGAGCTGGTGTAACTGAGTCAGGTTTGTAGGCCTCCTTGCTCGCACATGCTTTTTCAGTTCTGCCCACACATTTTCTATAGGATTGAGGTCAGGGCTTTGTGATGGCCACTCCAATACCTTGACTTTGTTGTCCTTAAGCCATTTTGCCACAACTTTGGAAATATGCTTGGGGTCATTGTCCATTTGGAAGACCCATTTGCGACCAAGCTTTAACTTCCTGACTGATGTCTTGAGATGTTGCTTCAATATATCCACATAATTTTCCTTGCTCATGATGCCATCTATTTTGTTTCTATATTTTTTATGGCGGTTTTGGAGCAGTGGCTTCTTCCTTGCTGAGCGGCCTTTCAGGTTATGTCGATATAGGACTCGTTTTACTGTGGATATAGATACTTTTGTACCTGTTTCCTCCAGCATCTTCATTTTTAAAAACATTTTAGTCATTTAGCAGACGCTCTTTTCCAGAGCGACTTACAGTTTGTGAGTGCATACATTTTCATACTGAATCGCACAAGGTCCTGAATCTTCACAAGGTCCTTCGCTGTTGTTCTGGGATTGATTTGCACTTTTCGCACCAAAGTACGTTCATCTCTAGGAGACAGAACGTGTCTCCTTCCTGAGCGGTATGACGGCTGCGTGGTCCCATGGTGTTTATACTTGCATACTATTGTTTGTACAGATGAACGTGGTACTTTCAGGCGTTTGGAAATTGCTCCCAAGGATGAACCAGACTTGTGGAGGTCTACAATTCTTTTTCTGAGGTCTTGGCTGATTTCTTTTGATTTTCCCATGATGTCAAGCAAAGAGGCACTGAGTTTGAAGGTAGGCCTTGAAATACATCCACAGGTACACCTCCAATTGACTCAAATGATGTCAATTAGCCTATCAGAAGCTTCTAAAGCCATGACATCATTTCCTGGAATTTTCCAAGCTGTTTAAAGGCACAGTCAACTTAGTGTATGTAAACTTCTGACCCACTGGAATTGTGATACAGTGAATTATAAGTGAAATAATGCTGTAAAACAATTGTTGGAAACATTACTTGTGTCATGCACAAAGTAGATGTCCTAACCGACTTGCCAAAACTATAGTTTGTTAACAAGAAATTTGTGGAGTGGTTGAAAAACGAGTTTTAATGACTCCAACCTAAGTGTATGTAAACTTCCGACTTCAACTGTACATACACCTAGATACTTGCGTGATTATGATCCTTTATGACATTGTATAGTAGTCATGGATCCACTATTCATCTTCTAGTCTCTTATGTGTTGTGGCTGAGTTGTGCACTGGAGTTTTAGATGTTTTGGGGCTTGCTGTGCTTTAGAAGAAGCTATCGCTGAACAATTTAAGGGGGGGCTGAACCATATAATAGGAAGCGCTACACAGATCTAACACAATGACAGCAAAAACTTAAAGCACGGCATTGCACTTAAAACATCCCAACTGTATCCATAGAAGAGAAAATGAAAATATATGCGTAAGGTGCTTTAGGCAGAAATACCCAAAGGGAGCCTTTCTTGAGCTGTGTTACTGCTTCTCAATGGACGACAGGACAGAGGGGATGCCGAGGAGGATGAGGTAGTAACCACCATGGTCCTGAAGTGGAAGCCCACGGCTGTCACTGGCCTGTCCCTATGGACCCCAGCCAAAGATCCATCCTCGGGTGAGCAGGACCCTTACGTAGCCTGTAGTAGTGTTTATCACGCGTGACTGTGGAGAGAGTACCTTGTCTGAGGAATGAGTCATTATTGTTTTTTATTGATCAATTAAAATAGTTTTTCTATCAACAGAGAAAGAAGGACTGGCCTCCGCAGATGAGAAAGGGGGAGCCAAACCTCCCACTCCAGAGACCTGAGACCTTGCCAGAATCACAGCCAACATACAGCAAACACACATTTCAATAATAAAGACGTCACTCTCGTAATTACTGGTCTGATTAATCAGTCACTGAGGAATTCTCTTAGTATGAAAAGGTTGGGTGTGATTATAAAAAAATCCCCAATGGACTGTGTGGTTTAGCCAGGGCAGAAAAGATGAGTCAAAGTATAATGAATATTGCCATCCTGTGGTGAAATGCAAAGTAGCGACCACTTAGTTTAAGTGTTACGTCATCATCCTGCGACGAGGGGAAACGCGTGTGGGGAAAGCGCAGAGAGAAATGTGTCACTGCTAGGCAAAAAGTGTTTCTACGTTAATGAGTGGAAACATGGCGCCGATACAGCAAGAACCAGAGATCCAGTTCGCGCAAAGATTGGCTTCTAATGAGAAGCCCATGCGAACAAAGGCCATCAAGAAGCTAAGAAAATATATCAGTGTTAGGTCACAGAAAATGAAAGGTAAGTCTAACGAGGTTACCAGGAAAATGGACCACGCGCTTGGCTTCCACGCAGCTTGTTTGCCTCATCTCTTCGTGCTCCTAGCTTAGCTAACCTTTGATTCGTTTTGTGCATGTTAAACCTATCTGATTTTCATAGTTTGACAATACAATAGTGGACTCTTGTCGTTAGATCACGAAAAAGTATGTAAAGAGTTTAGAATGTAACGCATCAAAGAAAAGGGTCCCATTTGGTCGGAAATGCAAATTGCATGCGCCCAGTGACGATGCGAGCAACAATGTTGCCAACTCCGTTCATAGTGTGGATTTTTTTTATTCCGTCGTTTCACTGGCACTTGCCTTCTCTTCAGGGGGGTTTGAAGGCGACGAGTTACTCAAACTATGGAAAGGCCTCTTTTATTGCCTGTGGATGCAGGACAAGCCACTTCTTCAGGTAAGTCGGTGCCACTGTGACCCAATTTATTTGCATTCATGTAAAAAAAAAGGTTAAACAAGAAGAATTGATACACAAAATACTGTGACTATTTGTGGGTCCTAGATAAGTTGCATTGATATGATTTTTGCCCATAGGAGGAGCTGTCGAATCAGATCTCTGGCCTGATGCACAACTTCCAGAACATTCAGAGCCGTAAGGCCTCATTTTTACAAACTACCATGTATTCAATATTGTCCTATCTTTTTTTTTTTCAATGTTACCCATTGGTCTGTGAACACATTTTCTGAGAGTTTTGACAGACCCTATACAGAATGTGTACTCCAATTTAAGATTGTTCCTGTTTTTCATCGATTCATTAATCCCTTTGTAGAGTTTTTGTTTCTGGAGACCTTCCTGCAGACCATCAAAAGAGAATGGACCGGCATTGACAGGCTTCGCATGGATAAGTTCTTCCAGGTCAGCATATTCAGCCATCAAAATGTTATAAGCATTTCCTCACCCAATAAATCATCATGTATAGTTGGAGGATAAACTGAAAGTATTTTGTACATGAAGAAATTACAAATCCTTTTCTTTTTGTGTCATTCTCTCTGACTCCCAGCTGGTTCGTTTCGTGTTCAAGAACACTTTTGAAATGATGAAAAGGAAAGAATGGGAGACCAGGTGGGTGACGCTTTGACCTCACCCCATTTTTACCTTGCAAACATCTGACAAACTTTGATTTTGGAGTGTAATGTCCCTTTAAGTCTTTGTGCATGCATGCTTCCTGTGATGTTAGAAAATATAATAATAATATGCCACTTAGCAGACACTTTTATCCAAAGCGACTTATAGTCATGCGTGTATACATTTTTGTGTATGGGTGGTCCCGGGAATCGAACCCACTACCCTGGCGTTACAAGTGCCGTGCTCTACCAGCTGAGCTACAGAGGACAACAAAGAAGAACGTGTTTTGTCTTTCTACAGTGTGGTGACCAGGTTTCTGGAGCTCCTGGATGCCCAGGTCCTCCACAGCTCCAGCGGATCCCCCTGTGGTTTGCAGTTTCACATACTGGACATCTATATGACTGAGCTGGCTGCAGTCGGTTCAGCTGAGGTATCAAATGTGGTTATTTTAATGCCCCAAAAGATGCGCTAGGTTCACTTTTGTTGTTTACGATTAGGGTTATAATTGGGAGGTAATAAATCAATCAGTAAATCCACCTTTAAGGGTAGGGAAGTGATGAGACTTAAGTTTGAGAAAGAGCTGTCAGTTTGATTGGGTGTTAGGTCCTATTGATCTGTCAGTTTGATTGGGTGTTAGGAGGTCCCATTGATCTGTCAGTTTGATTGGGTGTTAGGAGGTCCCATTGTGTGAGTGAGCTGGTCGTATGCTGATTGATTCCATTTCCACCACAGCTGAATGACTGGTTGTGGTTTGCTTATGATTACAGCTCACGGCGGCTCAGAACCTGACATTCATTGACCCTTTCTGCAAAACAGCATCCAAAACGAAAGAGTAAGTTTTATAGGGAACCTTTGGGGGGGGGGTCATGATCATCACCTCCACCCTTAGATTGAGGATCAATCCTTTATGCACTTTTTCCTCTCTCTCCTTCCCTCGTTCCCTCTGTCCCAGTCGGATCCTGCTCAGGGCTATCTGCAGCAGCATTTTCAGTGCCATCGTAGACCAGGCTCCTTTCGCCATCGAAGACCTGTTGAAGGAAGTGAAGGCTACAGGTGGAGGGGCTGAGGAGTCCGACTCAGGGCAGGCTTCTGAAGAAGAGGAGGAGGATGAGGAGCCCCCCAAGGGCAAAAAAGCTGTAAAGAAATCTCCCAAGAAAACCACTGGTGGGCAGACCAACGGTAGGCATTGCTATCTGAGGACTGAGAGGCAGAGAGATTCACTTGTTGATGAATCAGCTTTTAGCTTGACTACAACAAGTGTGTTGCATTATATGGAATTATCTTACAAATGACACAAAGCCTATATTTGCAAATGTCTAGATATAATCCATAAATCTTGTCCTCTCCTTCCTTTGTGGTTTTAGGCACTGTATCAACTGAGGAAGATGATGAAGATGGTCTGGAGGATGAAGAGGATGATGAAATGCTTCATTTGGAGAGTGACTCTGAGTCCGAGATGCCAGATGACGCAGGGATCGGACCTGTTCTCCAGTTTGACTACTCTGCACTGGCGGACAGGCTGTTTGGGCTAGCCAGCCGCAGCAACACCCCCAGCCACAACAGGCAGAGACTGTACAAAGTCATCAAGACGTAAGTAAACACACACACTCGTACATTAGAAATCCTTGATATGGACACTGATGAAGAGGAATTGGGTTCAGCTTGTGTATTCTGACTTACCTCTTCTCTCCCTCTGTTCTCCTGCAGTCTCCGGGATCTCAGTGAAGGTAGGAATGCTGATGGTCATAACTTTCGTCAGAGTATCCCTATGATAGATGTGCAAGGAAAGCTGATGTCTCTCTCTCTCTCTCTCTCAGGAGTCTTCCCACAGGATGAGTACCCAGAGGAGGTGTCGACAGATGAGGATGATGATGAAATGTTTGGCAGTAGAAAGAGAATGAAACGGGGACGAGGCTTCGGGGAGGAGGAAGAAGAGAGCTCACCAGCCAAGAAACGGAAAGGTACCTAAAACCCCACTATTTAAACGATCGCATTTGATCTTGAGTTTATACTTTTTTTAAACTTTTTTTTATATGTTGACTGTTCTTACATCATTGCTATCTTCTACTTCAGGCAAGAAAGGAGACTCCAAAGCAGGAAAGTCTGACCAGACTGCCGCAACAGATGACAGTAAACCAGCAGAGACTCCCGGAGACGCCAAGAAGAAGAAGAAGAGGAAGAAGAGGAAGAAGAAGACTGGAGAGGTGAAGAGTGACGAGCAGAACGGGGTGGGGTCAGAGGCGGACACGACTCCTGCTTCAGCGCCACAGACGACAGACGCTAAAGAAGCGGAGACGGAGCCCTCTGTCCACGCCAAGGGCACCGACACTGGAGCGGCTGTCCTGGAGAAGGCAGCCATGGAGACGGGGGTCCAATCAGGAACTCCACATGATGTGGTGGTGGGTAACCTATCCTCGGTCACGGTCACGGAGGTAGACCAGAAGAAGGGATCAGAGACGACAGTATCAGACGCCACGTCTTCCAAGAAGAAAAATAAGATCAAGAAGTCCAAAACGCCTGCACCAGAGGAGAAGGAAGAGGTAGCAAAATCAGAGACTAACACAGATGTGATGGGGCCTAGTGTGGACACCACGGAGGCAGGAGGCCAGCCTGCTCCTGTTACCCAGGACGGGGAGGCAGCAGAGGGGTCAACAGAACCAGAGCCTGCCCCTGAGACTGCTACTACCTCCACGAGCAGGAGGAAGAGAAGGAGGAAAAGCATCAAGCAGGAGTCTGACGAGCAGACAACCATAGAGGAAGTTGAAATGACGTCAGAAACAGTAGATGAGACCACGGCCACGCCACCGAAGACGACGAGGAGGAGGAAGAAGGCTAAACGGACCACTGAGGTAGCTGTAACAGATGCAACACTGGTAGAGACAACACCTGCGGAACCTGAAGCCGACTCTACACCAGCCGAGAAGCCTCCAGCTGACCTCCGCATCGCTGCCACTCCCCTGAAGAAGAAGAAGAAGAAACAAAAGGTGGCTGAGGAGGAGAGCGTTGAAATGCAGCCAGAAACTGAAGCAGACGTCATACCTGTAGACGCCGAGGTGGCGCCAGCGTACGTCGCTACACCAACCCCGCTCAAGAAGAAGAAGAAGAAAGCGGCCAAGGCTGAAGAACAGAGCATGGAGGTCAAGGGTGAAACCCAGCCGAAAGCAGATGCAAACCTTGCACTGATAGAAGCTGAGGTAGAGTCGGTGGAGGTCGCCACACCTACCCCACTCAAGAAGAAGAGGTCTGGACGGGTAGCGGAGGAGCAGGAGACGGAGAGCGTTGCAGAGGAGCAGCCCACAGATGCTGACCTGAACACTCCCGGGAAGAAGAAGAAGAGGAAGATCCCGTTAGTGATAGAGGTCGAGGCTGAGGTCAACGGGGTGGCTGGAGGCAAGAAAGGAAAACTGAGCAACGTGAGTTTAAGTTGACACCACTTCCTAGGCCCAGGTTCAGTTAGCCTGTTAGTTAGTTCCTACAGTAAATGCATACCATTTTAGTTGGCGTACGTGAAGCAGATGAGAGCTAGTAGCCATTGAACAGGTTTCCAGTTTATAAACTTGTTTTTGATTCCTCATCTCTTCAGGACAGCGAAGAGCCGTCCACACCGGTGAGCGCCAAGAAAACCAAAAAAATGACGCCCAAGAAGGCTAAGGCAGGGGTGGAGTCTGACTTCATCACGTTCCAGAACCACGCCTCCATCCCTACACCCCTTTTCTACAAGACAGCCAAGGGAAGCCCCAGTACACCGCTATCCAGCAAGAAGAAGGTAGTGAACTGGTTCAACACCTAGAGGCTGTCTATTATTACATCAAGTTACTTCCTCATTGTCTGTCTTTTTAACTTCCGTTCACAAATGGGAAATCCTCATGATGTTTTATCATTTTCTTTCACAGAAGAAGTGTCAGACTCCAAAGTCCGAATCCAAGAAGGTCACCTTCGGACTCAATAAAAACAAAACTGCAGGTATTCGAGGGCAGGATAGCACCTTATTTAGACTCGTACAAGAGACAAGACCTCTATATTATTTCCTTCTAATGACCTATATACCTTCAGTTATCCCACGTTCAATAATGATCTAGCTTCTGGATCCTAATTTCTTTACTGTTCAATGTTCCATAGTTTTGATGAGACTTTCCTATTTGTTTTTGCCCATTCATGATCCCCAGAGTTCAGGAAGACTGATCGCAGCCTGCTGGTGAGTCCAGAGGGGTCGTCCCGAGTGCCCTTTGACCCCCAGCAGAAGCCCCTGTTTGGGGTCTTGAAGTCCCCGGAGGCCTCTCTTACCAACAGCACTAAGAAGAAGACCAAGAGCACCCCCAAACGCCCCACCGCGGCTGATTTCTTCTAGTCTTCTTTGAGGAGACTGGTGAGACAGAGGACGTTTCCACCCTCAGTTCCACCCCACTGTTTGTTCACCAGGAAAATATAATTATGAACAGAATATCCACAGAATCTGTCATTCCCCTGTTGGGAAGAGAGTGATCTTGATATACAACGTTTTTTTTTTTGGTAATATTTCTAATTTTCCATGTTCTTTTGATGTTCTGTGGGTGAGCAAGTGTTCAAATAAAGACTCAATCCCTCCTTTTAGTCAACCTGTCTGACTGTGGGTGTTTCTCTTTCAGTCAGCCTTTTAGTTTTGAGGCGGACTGCATTTTTGCATTAAACAGCACTACTTTCTTGCTTTGCCGAAGAATATAGGATTTGGTTGTTGGTGTGAGGGATTATCGGCAGAAGGACAACCCTAAACCCCCAATTTAATTATTCATAGGACAACTTCTGTACAAGACCTCTCTATATGTGGTCCTATGTAGCTCAGCTGGTAGAGCACGGCGCTTGTAACGCCAGGGTAGTGGGTTCGAACCCCGGGACCACCCATATGCGTAAAAATGTATGCACACATGACTGTAAATCGCTTTGGATAAAAGCGTCTGCTAAATGGCTTATTATTATTATTCTGCAAGATACTTCTTCACTATTTGGCAAGCCATGCATGACAAGTTGGCCAGATATAGGCTGTCAATTTGTCAACTGTATTAGTGTATTTTAGATGGAAAGACCACGAGTCATACATATCCCAGTCAACAAGGGAAAGGTTTCGAAACAAACATTAAAACGCACGCACAGCAACCGCACAGTCATACACCTTGACTTATTCTACATTTTGTTGTTACAGCCAGGATTAAAAATGTATGAATAGATTTTCTCACTAATTTACACAATACCCCATAAGGACGAAGTGGAAAAACATGTTTTTAGATATGTTTTCCAAATGTATTGAAAATTAAATACAGAAATGTCATTCACATACACATTCACACCCCTTTGCTATTAAACTCCAAATTGAGCTTGGGCGCATCCAATTTCCTTTGATCATCCTTGACATCTCACTATAACTTGATTGGCGTCCACCTGTGGCCAGCTCAATTGTTTGGACATGATTTTAGAAAGAAACCAACATAAAGTGTCTTAATAGGGCGTTGGGCCACCACGAGCCAGAACAGCTTCAATACACCTTGGCATAGATTCTACAACTGTCTGGAACACCCCACACAGTCTAGAGAGCATCATGTACATTTTTATGAAAGAACAACTACTAAAAGCCAATGCCTTATTCTTTGGGTTTCTTCAAGCTGTATTCTCTCTGTCTGTCTCTCTCTGTCTGTCCTGCTCTCTCTCTCTCTTGCTCGCTCCTTCCTCCTATATATGACCACCACCATCTCACTAATTTTTCATTAATTCTTCCATCTCTTTGTCATTTCACAGTTATTCCATTTGCTGCGTGTGATAACATTCAATTTGTTTTATTGTTATGCACACATAAGAAAATAGTAAGTAAATGGTATGGCTACATGATTTCCATTTTGATTTATTTTCAGTTTATTCCCGCTACTTGATGTTATTGCTTTCAGTAGTCTAGACACTGCAGTATTTCAGTCGCCAACAGCAGAGGCAAAGATGCTTGTCCACTTTGAGGAGAAGTAACTAAACTCATCAGTTAAATTGGTGAAGGCGCTCAGCGGAGGAGGATGCGACATGTCTCGCTTGAGGGAATCCAGTTAATGACATTTGGAGAGGCTTTATCCATCGTCCGCTTTTCCAGTTCTGAAAAGATTACAGAGAAACAGAAGTAGGCACATTTTCTTTGACTACTATTCCTATATGTTCTCCCTCACTTCAAAGAAATGTGGGATCCACCTGCGGTTGGTTTCTTATCGGATGAGTCCAAGGCGTGCCACCTGTGAAGATAAAAAGAACTGAGGTAAGTAATTTTTTAACAGTTCTCAGCGCATTCATACGCGATATGTCTCTGTTGTCTTGTTTAATATGCCATTTAGCAGACGCTTTATCCAAAGCGACTTACAGTCATGTGTGCATACATTTTTACGTATGGGTGGTCCCGGCGATCGAACCCACTACCCTGGCGTTACAAGCGACATGCTCTACCAATTGAGTTACAGAGGACCGCGTGTGGTGTGTTGCTATTTATTTATAAATGTTAGGTTATGTAGAATAGAGACCACTGAATGACAATATTGGCAGTGTTATTGTTTTCAACCTGGACTCAGAGGTAGACATAACATAGTAAATGTAAATATGTCTCCCTCCGTTTAGTGTGAGATGTTACGTTTCATATGGTATGTATTAATTTGTGGATGTCCATCATCCATTTCATATGATATGTTATGAATTACAATTCGTATGATATGTTACGAATTTGCAATAAACCTGATATGTTACGAATTCCAGTGGCTAACGTTAGCTAGGTGGCTAACGCTAATGTTAGATAAGTCAAATCAAATCAAATTGTATTTGTCACATGCGTCAAATACAACAGGTGTAGACCTTACAGTGAAATGCTTACTTACAAGCCCTTAACCAACAATGCAGTTTTAAGAAAAATAAGTTAAAAAATAAAAGCAGTAAAATAACAGTAAAGATAACAGTAGCGAGCCTATATACAGGGGGTACTGGTTAGTCAAGGTAATTGAGGTAATATGTACATGTAGGTATAGTTAAAGTGACTATACTAACGTGGCTAACGTTATCTAGGCTAGGGGTTAGGTTTAGTGGTTAGGGTTAAGGTTAGGGTTAGGGTTAGGAGTTAGGTTAAAAGGGAAGGGTTAGCTAACATGCTAAGTAGTTGCAAAGTAGCTAAAGAGTAGACGTTCTAGGCGTTTGCGTTGTACCCCAACCCCGATCTCGTTTTTTTTTCATTAAAGGAGTAGTTTGTTCTTAAATAGCAATCTTAAACAGTTCCTCACCCTGGAAGTAGTCTATTTGCCATGCTCACATGCCCCCCATCACTTCCATTGATTGTTAGCTTGTGGTGGCTAAAGTTAGCTGAAGTTTGTAGTGGCTGTTTAAAAGATGCACTAGGCAGAAATCGCTCTGCCATTTCCTGGTTATTAAATTAGAATAGTTTGCCTAATTTCTGTTTATGTGACTAAATTAGCAATTAATAGTGTAGAGAATCATTGTACCATCCAAACCGCTGTGACATATCTTTTCCATAACCAAATATATTATATTTTCAACTGTTTGACGCTGGTGTACAAAACCGAAAGTAAAAGACGCAAAAACAAAACTTAACACCGCTTCTTAGACTTGCTTTCAATAAGAATGACATATCTATAATTCACATTTCTATGTGAATTTGGTTCGGGTCGCCCAAAAAGTTACATCTTGCACCTTTTTAAAGAAAACTGAACCATGGATAACAGTTTCTCCTGGTCCATAAACTATTTTCAGGGTAATGAACCGTCTAACATCAAGTTGTAAAATAGTGAACTACTCCTTTAAGTAACCTTCTGCCTTATGTAACCGTACCAAACGTAACATATCACGCTAATTTGAGTGTCCTGGATATACATTTACTATGTTACGTCTAGTCTATGAGACCAGACTGTTGTTTTTGCTTGTACTCTACAGTTATATCCTTCACAGAGTCTTAGCTATATCCTTAATCCTTATTTATTATTAAGGCTCTTCATTTACATTTTACATTTTAGTCATTTAGCAGACGCTCTTATCCAGAGCTACTTACAGTTAGTGAATGCATATATATATATATATTATTTTTTAAAATCTTTTTTTTTTTTATGCAAATACTGAATTGTATAATTAAATCTGCCACACAGGACTTCCTCTATGAAGATGCCCACAGAAGGTTTGTGTGTGTCCCCTGGAGTGCTGCTGTTTGCCTTTTTACTTTTCTCCACTGTTCGAGGTAAGAGATGAAACGCTGTGCCGGTTGCTGATAAAGAGTTAAATGAATGGATGTTAAACCAAAGGACGCTCTGAATCTCTCAGGGGCTGGTTAGTGGAGACCTGCTGCAACCATACTGCATGTTGAATAAATAAAGTAGTGTCTTTGTTATTCACAGCTGCTACGCCCCAGGGCACTGTAAATCAAATCAAATCAAATCAAATCGTATTGGTCACATACACATATTTAGTAGATGTTTGTTGCGGGTGTAGCGAAATGCTTGTGTTCCTAGCTCCAACAGTGCAGTAGTGTATAACAATTGACAACAATACACACAAATCTCAAAGTAAAACAATGGAATTAAGAAATATATAAGTATTAGGACTAGCAATGTCGGAGTGGCTTTGACTATAAAACAGTAGAATACAGTATATACACATGAAATGAGTAACTGTAACTGATTGAGGAATCTGGAGAGAAAATACCCAAACCGCTCTCAGGGAAGTTAATTATTAGCCAATGTTATTATTCATATTTTTTCAATGAAATGAACCTATTTGGTCTGGTCTACTATAAAACGGAGTAGGTGTTGTGCCCCACTTTAAAATCCAATCAGTCTGCCTTTGTGTTCTAAAATACAATTTTCTATATTTTTTTTTTTCACCTTTATTTAACCAGGTAAGCCAGTTGAGAACAAGTTCTCATTTACAACTGCGGCCTGGCCAAGATAAAGCAAAGCAGTGCAATAAAAACAACAAACACAGAGTTACATATGGAATAAACTAAACGTACAGTCAATAACACAGTAGAAAATCTATATACAGCGTGTGAAAATGTAGTAAGTTATGGAGGTAAGGCAATCAATAGGCCACAGTGTAAAATAATTACAATTTAGTATTAACACTGGAGTGATAGATGTGCAGAAGATGATGTGCAAATAGAGATATTGGGGTGCAAATGAGCAAAATAAATAACAATGTAAATAGCAATATGGGGATGAGGTAGTTGGGTAGGCTAATTACAGATGGGCTGTGGACAGGTGCAGTGATCGGTAAGCTGCTCTGACAACTGATGCTTAAAGTTAGTGAGGGAGATAAGTGTCTCCAGCTTCAGAGATTTTTGCAGTTCGTTCCAGTCATTTGCAGCAGAGAACTGGAAGGAATGGCGGCCAAAGGAGGTGTTGGCTTTGGGGATGACCAGTGAGATAAACCTGCTGGAGCGCATACTACGGGTGGGTGTTGCTATGGTGATCAATGAGCTAATATAAGGTGGGGATTTGCCTAGAAGTGATTTATAGATGACCTGGAGCCAGTGGGTTTGGCGACAAATATGTAGTGAGGGCCAGCCAACGAGAGCATACAGGTCACAATGGTGGGT